AATTGCCCTAATATAAACTTTATAATTGTCGGGGATGGCCCGAAGCGGGATCTTCTGGAGGAGATTCGCGAGAAGACGAATATGCAAGACCGGGTCGAAATCCTAGGCGCTGTGGAGCATGCCAAGGTTCGAGACGTSCTTGTGCGTGGTCACATCTTTGTCAACACCTCCTTGACGGAGGCATATTGCATGGCCATAGTGGAGGCCGCTAGCTGTGGCCTCCAAGTGGTGTCCACTAGTGTGGGTGGAATTCCCGAGGTGCTGCCCAATAGCCTAATACTGCTTGCCGAGCCGGACATAGAGGCCATCTATGCGGCGATATTGGTGGCCATAGATCGACATCGCAGTATTTGCAAGCCGGCTGCAAGGGATGACGGCAGTAGCAGGCCAAGACGTAAGAGGAAAAAGAAAGGCGCGGCGGGAGGACAAGCGAATGGAGCTGCGATAGGTGCTATAGCAGTGGAAGCAGGCGCTGCAGGTGGCGGAGATGCGAGAAAAGCAGGTGCAGCAATAGTTGGCGATTGTGCAGGAGCAGCTGCTAGATTAGCAGGGGTAGCAGGAAACGACTCTACAGGAGCAATAGGAGGGGCAGTGGCATCAAGTGCCAAACAGGCGGAGCCCGTTCTCTGTCCGCACAGATGCAACGAGCTGGTGGAAACTCTTTACAACTGGGAGGACGTTGCCCAGCGCACAGTCAAGGTCTACGATCGCGTCTTGAAGGAACGAGCCTTTACGCTCAGCGAACTGATCTATTCTGTGTATCAGTGTGGAGCCTGGTTTTTGGCATTCCTAGTCGTTGCCCACTTTAYGTTGCGCCTGATGGATCGCTGGCGGCCACGCAGTCGCATTGAGGCTGCCCACGAGGCCAGACGAAAGCCTAGCTAATGCTATGTGTTCCAATAGAACTTCCACTTTATTGTTGGTATTGGTTATAGATAATTTRTCAATTAGTTCAAATATACCAAGGTGTTCGCTATAACAGTTTCTGATAAGATATGGATTCSTTTTTAACCGGTTAAAGTTACAGTGCTGTAAATAACATTTTTTCAATAGGATTAAAGAGCGCTAGGTTTTAAAATTATCTAGTAGTTTTCTGTTAATAAGCGTAATTGTATTATTAATTTCGATTAAAGTATTAATATCAAATGTACTCTCAACAGCCAGTTTTCCTTAAATAAATTTGTAGTAGTATTAATTAATTACAATTAAAATAAGTCCCATCGGCATCAAAACAAAAATACTATAACTTAACAGTTTACTGTTAATTAACGTAACAGAAATAGATGTTAAATAAATTCTAGTTTTTTAGAAAAGCAGAATTGCGGTTAACATTTTAATTTAAATTAACATAGCAGCAGAGCAAATGTGCGCCGCTTGAAGTTGGCTGCAACCGCACAATTGAATCTTTTTTACGCGCTTAAATCGATGACACAATTCAAATCGATAGCCTTGGTTTAGTCTTGAAACAAATGCGCTGCGGTAAGGTTGTGTGCGCGCGTTAGTTGCGATCAAAATATAATAATTAAATAGCGAAAAAGCCAGCGGGCAAATACACCAAACAACAATTGCGTGCAGTTTCCTATATGCCTATTTTAAATTTAAATCGTATTTATTATGACCACAAGCAATATGCATACTTTATTAGAATAGTTCGTGGAAGCGACAATTCAAATGTTCTGCAAAATTGTTAGCGCGTAATTTTGTTCGTTCTGTGTGAAAAGTGCAAAATACTTGGAAATTTGTGAATTCAAGTTAACTGAAGAATTGGTCCATTTTATTGGGAAGCCCGCGCAGCATCCTATTGGCACTAATGACGTCATAAGCGCGCTACTTTTATGTCCAGTTAGCTTCTTGCTCTTTGTGTATGAGCCTTGTGCCTCAGTGTGTGTKTGAGTGAGTGTGTGTGTGCGTGAGTGTGAGCGTGTGTGTGTGTGTGCTTGGAATTGGAACGGGATGTTCATTTATTACGCACCACACTTGTAGCTTTGGCTAGTCCTTGAATATACCCCTCTCTCTCTAATGCACTCCATCACAGTGGCCTTGGGCTAAAAGCCTTTGTTATTCCAGCTTTCGTATATCCTATACGCATATATGCCGTTATTTTATATATTTCATTTTCGTTCCTATTTGAATTGAAGTTTGATATCGCGCTTCACTTTGCAAAAAGGAAAAAAATAAACAATAAATAAATCGACAAACGTGAATTTAATCTAGTTTTGTGTTTTCCTTTCATTTGATATTTTAGCCTCAGTAAAAACCATTTAAAAATTCAATTTGCGTTTGGAGAAAAAATAATTGAAATCAATTCAGGTGAGTTTAACTTAGGACAAGTAAGATTTTTATGTATATATTTTAAATGTTTATTTATACGAAAGTCAATAATAAAAATAATTCCTGAGAAATTTACGTATCGACTCGCAAAGCGGAACCAAAAGGCTTTAAAAATACTTCCCCATTTGTAAATATAACATATTTATATTATCAGCTTAGGATGAGCTTATTTTAATTTACTTACTTTTTAGCAGCTGGCTTGAATCTTCGTTTTAGCATCTGCTCTTTTTTGTTGTCTTTTAGCCAAATTGCATTTTGGTAACATTAAGACTTCAAAGTTTGTGAGCTAATGAATTTTTAATGCGCCCTAAAAATCTCGCCTGTCTCCCGAGTGCTCCTCCAAGGGAKCAGGAGCTAAAAAGAACTCCCATAAAAATTCAGCTGTGAATTGTGGCCAGCTACAGAAAGTATTCCAAAATTTGGTTTGCGCCTCGCCGGTTCCCACTCCCTCTATCTGTCTCCTTCATTCTCCTTGCCTTTTGGGGGAGGCTGTAAATAATGAAACACCAGACAAGCAGCAGACTGAACAATAAAACAACAACAACAGCAAGGAGAGAAACGTGCAAAAAGTGTGTGTGTTGAACAATGTTGCGGGGGCTTTTCCAACATCCAAAAAAAGCATACGGGGTGTGGTGGAGGGGATAAAGGATAGCGGTACATGTAAAGTTGCAGCACTCAAAGGAATACGGGGACATCATAATCAAAGGCTTTTATTGCGCCATCAAATAACCAGAAAACTGTTAGCTCAAGCGTTTACAGGGAGTGAGAG